GTGCAGTACTGTGGCAGGGCATAATGAGCAATCATACAGTCTTTGTACTGCAATCCCTCGTGGTTTTCATAATAAATTTCATCATGAGAAAATGGGTTAAGCGTGCATTCTTGCGTTACTCCGCATCTGACATATGACTGACCATAAACATATGACACAAAACACAAACCACTATCAGCAAAGCAGACAACCAATAAGTAACATCACCTGCTCAGCCTGTTCTGGGAATCCACAAAACGTAGACGACAAAGACGCAAACGCATTTTCTGCTTCCACAGTCATGCAGCATGCTGCAGCCATCAGGCCGCTTCACTCGAAAGTATTGTTCACTCAAGTCATAACACATGTGTAACGAGAAAATATTACATGTAGTGAAGTGGCACTGCAAACCCGCTGACCCTGCGCCCGGCTGGAGACATGATAAGTGCATGTAGTTGCGGTTAGATGGGCAAAATGCAGGGAAGTGATGAAGACGCCAGTGCACACAAGGTTCATGATTAACAGATTTTTAGTGTACACGAGGCTCATGATAAAAATACTGTGACGTGCTTATCCGAGAAAATATCAGCAATGCTTTTCCACCCTTCCCAGCACCCAGCATCTTAGACATGTTGCAGCGACTGTGACACTGATGACCTACAGGCAACGCTTGCCTGCATACAAAATTGACAGTAGTGTATGCATCCGTAATAAAACGGCACTACATTTTCAGAATCATTAAGGGAAAGACAATTTTGAAAGCCGTATCATTCGAGCTTATACCAAGCATGTGCATTAATAAGCCGCACGAATCTGCCCCTACTGCAAAAATAAATTGCGAATATAATGGCATGTAATGAATTAATTGCATGCTGTTATACTTCGATAGGATCAAAATGTTGACAAGATCTTAATGAAGTAGTAACTCGCATTCGTACACCTCTGTAGCATAGGGAATGCTAGTGTTTGTTTCGGTTTGCTGGCATCGGTACTTTGTCATAGTCAGACACAAACAGAAAGATAGGGGCAGGTATCGATATATCACATTTTATTGGGAGCCATTAGACTTAAGGAAAACCAAACTTTTTTTTCTCTCAGAAGTACAAGACTTGCACACACACTTCCCATCACATCAAGATCAATAAAAGCCACTGGCACGCACCACCAATGATCTCACCCATTTCAAGCGCCTGATTCACGCTCTAATGCCAAATAAGTGTGATCCCACGCCTGCGCAGATCGCGGGACTATCAAATTGCAGGTTTCCTCGCACTTTTTGCACAGGTTTTCTGTTATAACACCGCATTTCACCGTGAGTTTCCTCCAAAGCATGGTCTCAACGAGGGTTTATGGTAATGCAGCCCAAGAGGCTTCACTTGAATGACGTGTTTTTGTTCAAGATTCAAATTTGTCATACAAGATGTGTTAGATGTTTGGTACAATATACACATAAAATTGCTGAAATATTCCCCTAATTTCAAAACGTCTTGCTAACCCATAAACCCGTGCAAGGTTCTTTGCTCCGATGCACAACGTGCTAACCGAGCTGTCTGTAAGAAATACGTCAGCAGAAGAATAAAAAAATGCCAGCAGGAGGAAAAGGCAGATTTGCCGTCGCGTCTTCTTTTTTATAGCATTCGGGAGACTGCTTTTTTGCAGTGTCGATATTTTTCAATAACATTTGGCTATCACCTGGAAATAAGGAAAAATGTCCCGTTGACAACGAATGCCGCACAGCCTGAAAGTGTTCACGCTTCCGTTCGCGACACGCATTCAGCATCGAAATCTTACGAACAGCCAACTGGCCTTCCGCGGATTGTATGATATATGCCGCATCATCGCTTTGGCGAATGTATCAGCGGCCATGCTGCTTTTGACCATAAGCAGAAAACAGTCTGTAATATAACGGCAATCCTGTGACGTTTCTATGACGACATCAAGCCAAGGTGACTTTGAAGTAGTCTCCCATTGAACTTTTTCACACTTTTGCGGACGTTTAACTCAAGAACCAGAGGGTTTTGGGTCTTAGAAAGGGCATGTCCGTGAACTGCATCAAAAGGTCCCCAAGACGGCTATTTCAGTTCAAAACCCCATGTAAAGGTGGAGCACTCCCCTTAATCTAAGGCCTATCGACAGTTTTGCTCCATCCCTCCCACCCGCGAGCTGTCCCAGCGGGCCGAGTCGGACGCCGGAGACGCATGGGGCGGGGGCTAGCGCCGCGAGAGGCGGGTGGTGGTCCTCCACCGCGTACGATCACTCTTTCCCCACAGGCTGAGGGGCCTGCTGTCGCCGGGCGACGGTCACGTGTGGGCGGGACATGCCTGGCGGGTGGTGGTCCTCCGCCGCGTTCCCCCACAGGCTGAGGGGCCTGCTGTCACCGGGCGGCGGTCACGTGTGGGCGGGACATGCCTGGCGGGTGGTGGTCCTCCGCCGCGTTCCCCCACAGGCTGAGGGGCCTGCTGTCACCGGGCGGCGGTCACGTGTGGGCGGGACATGCCTGGCGGGTGGTGGTCCTCCGCCGCGTTCCCCCACAGGCTGAGGGGCCTGCTGTCACCGGGCGGCGGTCACGTGTGGGCGGGACATGCCTGGCGGGTGGTGGTCCTCCGCCGCGTTCCCCCACAGGCTGAGGGGCCTGCTGTCACCGGGCGGCGGTCACGTGTGGGCGGGACATGCCTGGCGGGCGGGCGCCGACGCAGCGCTAACGCTGCTCTCAGGTGCCCTGTGGGTTGTTGGTGGAACTTCAGTAGCCGCGGCCTTCCGCAAGCGCGGTGACGCAACGTAACCAGTGGGAGCGGGGTTTTAGAGACCATGCCTCTTGGAGGTGGCGGGGGCACCCTGGAACACAGGGTTCCAGAGGTTTTTGTGGTTAGGGCGTCCGTGGGGCTTATCAAACACGAACACTGTGTACCCAAGGTACAAACATGGGTTTAATAGTTCCTCCAAATGAAAAACACACCTTAAACAGCGAAAGGGACCCGTTAGCTGGAATGACCACGTTAGATCTAATTTGGTTTCCCGAGCGTAAAACCGAACACGCCACTGCACAGGAGCACATAAAAGCGTCCATCTCTCCGACCCCCGCAATAGGCGTCCCAGCCCAGTCGACACAGATTGCGAAACACCCGACATTTGCTCATTGCAATTGTAAGTTACAATTGTTGGCATTACCACTGTTCAATTCACAGTAACATTCTCCGCTCCACCGACGCCAGTGCGAGCCAGCAGCTTCGCTTCAGGCTACCGGCGTCGACCCAGTGCGTGGGACCGGATCCATGGCGATGAACGCCGGATAGCGCAGGAGTCAGCTCCGTACCTAGAATATCACCCGGGTGCCGCCCTTCCCCCACGATCGCACCAGTCATGGTAGCGCCTGGTCCACGTGGAGCCGACGTTGAAGCAACCGCGACAGCAAGGCAAGTGGCTAGGGGCCAATTTCGTCGTCACGGGTATCACAGGAGTATTTCTGCCGAATGTTGCGAGAGGTGCGACTGCAGACGGAAGAACTGTCCGCACTACGGTTTTCTTTTACGTGCCGTGCCGTTTGCTGGCTGTGATTAGATGTGCTGTGCTGTGTGGTACTCGAAAAATAGATACCTTTATTTACACAATAACAGCGTTAACGACTGCAGTAATCACAACAGCAGCCGCGTTGCACATTTCCGGTACTACATCAGCGATGCAAGTGACAATTTTGAACTTTATGACGAGCTCTGTAGTGCCTGAAACACAGTGCTTCTGCCCACTTAAGTCCACAGCACTCCTGAAACCTTCCTCGTAGAGCTATTCTTGCTACACTCCTCACGCCTTCTCTTGCACTCAAGAGCCCGAGAGCCCTCGGGATTCGGGACCCCCCCGCGCCTACAGACGCCGAGCTCTCTTCTGCAGACTCCTTCGCCGAACGACCGAGATTGTATTCGTTCTGCGGCACCAGCCTACGCACTGGCTGGGGTTTATTCTCCCGCAATGATTCCTCTCATGTTAGAGTCCTCAGTTGGATCTCGAGCGCCAGTAGGATTTCAGAGATGCACGGAGGAAAGATCAAACTAGTCGGCGCCGCCCGAGGGTCGCATGGGGATTGTCGTTTCCGCCAGACGCCATTTCTATATCGGTCCATCGCTTTTCTCCTTTTCTGCGGCACTCGCTACATCGTGAGGCTTGTGGAAATCTTCCTTTCTGAACGCCGGCCGCCATCCTGACGCACTGTCGATCCCGCTGTGCGACGTCGCATGAAAAACCCCCCTCTCAGTCGACCCGTGTTCAGCGCTCACAGAGACGGCAGCTTCCAACAGTCCTGCCCTCGGCGACCTCGGAACAGTCCTTCCCACGACCACGTGACATTGTGGCTTCCGCAAAATGCAGCAGGCGGCACCGGCTCAGTCATAACCATGCCGCCGACTCGCCAGTATTGAAACGAGAAGCGTCAAGAACACGATGGGAGGGGCCGGGAAAAGCCGTCTCGCGTCCGCCGGGTGGGCCTGTGGTTTAAAACTCCACCACTGCGCAGCATTGTCACGTTCTCCTCCACGTCACACCGCGGAGCACCGCCAGTCAAACATCACATGACCATGTATTGGCTGCTAGAAAGCCTTGATGGGAGGTGGAACGCCGCGATACCGAGCAGAACCGACAACAAACACCTGTAACGACCGAAGTACAGCTTCAAACAAAGAACTGCTGTCAACGGAAGAGGACGGTAAGCCGCCACCGAGCCCCCAGGCGATCGCGCCGGCCCGTCGCTGATTTGTCTCCAGCGCCTCACCTTTGTACTAATCTCACACGGCGACGGGCCGGCCGCCACAGGCCCGGCCGGTTATCACGAGGTGCGCACACGCATCTCCTTGGTCAGCGGCGGCACACGGGGCCGTGGGTCGACGCGCCGCCGGCCACTCGAAAACACGCAACGTCGCAAGAAATGGGGGGGGGGGGGAGGAGGGGCGCGCCGCCGCGTGCCGACACGGCCGGCGCGCGACGCGGGCCGTAGTGGGCCCCAGCCGCGCGCCGCCGCCGGTGCACCTACAAGCCGCGCGCGAGCGCGCCACACCGAAGGCGCGGCGAGCGGAAAAGCGCGCGCCCGCGCCGCGGGGCGCATGTAAAACACAGGAAAACCATTGCTTCAGCGTGGATTGACGCGGTGCGGCGCAGCGGCTGCCGCGGCATCGCCGCTCCTGGACCCGGCGCGGGCGCGCGGCTCGCGGTAATATCTCCCTCGGCAAGAGCGCAGTAATATCGGGGACAGGTGTGCGCTTGGGCGTCGGCGGGACGGGATTGTCGGGGCGCCGCCGGCCGCGACCGGAGCGCCTATCACAGTCGGGCCGGGGCGTGACGTCACTCGGTGACCTCGTTCTTGCTGACACAACACGGCAAGACGCCCGACACGTACGGCCGAAGCGACGAGAGCCGGCTGTTGGCAACGCTCGACGGCGTGGCGGCGCACTGTAGCCTGTCCTGTTCGCCGTCAGATGTCAGCACCTCCTGATCCAGCCGCTCGTTGTCGAACACGTCGATGCTCTGCACGTTGGTGGCGTTGCGGCGGCTGCAGATGTCGGCCATGCGCTGCCAGTGGCGCCGGTTCGTCTTCGTCTGGGCGTACACCTCGTCAGAGCAAGGGAACAGCGAGCTCAGCAGGCTGGGAACGTGACGAGCGCAGCGTCAACGATCTGCTCACCACCCTGATCTGCTCACACCTGCGTCGCAGCCGGCTCCCAGCGTCCGTCATCCCCCTCGAAAACACTGCCCCTTTAAACGGCACCGCCCAGACTTGCGGGCCGAATGATCCAACGTCACCAAGTCAACAACGCAACTCTTCCGTCAACAAAGAGCACGCATGGCAAAGCCAGCACGGTCCCGAGCACGGCGCGTCTCGTCAGCACGTGCTACAACAAAGAGCAGGCCCGCACCTCGCCACCGCACACGTCCGAGCGCTGGCTCTCACCTGTAAACAGGCAGCGCAATGTCGTCCAGGAACTGGATCTGCAGCTTCGGGATGAACGCGCGCTCGCGGTCCATCATCTCCGACGGGTCGTTGCCCATCTGCTTCTCCATGTCGCCTTGCGAGAAGAACTCGCGGTACACCAGTTTCTGCCGGACGGAGGTGGACGGTGAGCGTCACCTCACCTCGACCTCTTTCAACGCTGTTGTCCAAGTCCAGGGGGCACAGCATGTAGAAGGAGCAGTTCGTGATGCCGGATGCATGGCACCAGACAGCCACTCAGCACGCCACTACAGAGCCGGACGGCGGCAGCGGCCGACTCAGTCTCCAGCCCACCGTCGCTGGCGGGGGCGCTGCTCAACAGCCCCGGGCCATCCCGCCGACATGCAATCATCACATGCAGCTGATCCCTGAGCACAAGCGAGTGGGTTCCGACGCCCTTGCAAAACCCATATGGACAGGACTTAACAATGCAATGGAATGTGGTGCTTCCATGCGTTCAACAGGGAAGTGTGAAGGACTGTGTGGCTTCCACACACAAGACACTCACGGCTGGGGCATTGGCTGGCTTTGCGTATGGAAGGCCACGGAGTGAATAAACTGAGAATAGCGTTCTTTTTTGGTGACTGGTAAAAGTCAAGGAAAAACGTTAATGCTTTCGCTGCATGCCAGCCACAGTAAACTAGGCTAAGTATCTGTGTAGTTTTCCGGCAGACAGTGGGCGCTCACTGGGCGAGGGTGCGTGGGCGCGTGGGGGAGCCTGCTGACTGCTCTGCCCCAGACCTCGGTCGGACGGAGCCGCCTTCCGCCGCGTTCCGCCCGGTCAGTCCCCCCGCTGCGCGCCGAGCAGGGGCCTCACCGCCGCCTAGGGTTTCCCGGCACGTAAAGCCACCCAAGTCGCCTCGTGCACGCCCACACTTGGGCGGCTTCTCTTGGGCGTAACAGCGGTGACGTTGCGCCGCGTCCACGGTCGCGGCATGACGCCCACGTCACGAAGGGCCGGCCCTGGTCCGCCGGAGCGCGGCATCGTCACGAACCCTCGCCAGCCCCCTCCCCCTCCCCTCCCAGACAGTCCCGTTGGAGACAGAGACTGAAGGAGAGTGCGCAGACTGACGGAGAAGTCGCCACATTAGGCTGTGGAGCCCGCTCCCGCAAGTCGCGATGATCCAATGCCAGTTCAGTGAGAAGAGACTTGTGAATAGTTTTAATTTCTCCCTTACGTGCCTCACATAAGCAATGCAGAAGTGGAAACGGTTTGAAAACAGCTACAAAACCCAGGATTTTTTTCACACGGACTTAAGTGTCCTTATAATGAACGACATAACAAGGCTTACAAAATTGTGACCAAAGGAACGCTTTGTATGTAAAATCCTTGGTTACTGTTAGCAACGCATCCTGGTCATCACCCTACAGTATACCTGAAAAAGTTCGTCTAGGGAAGTAGCAGCAGTATCTCATACCTTAAAATGCCTACAATTCTGCAATTTTCAGCACTCCATCACCACGTGTCCGACACTATGTTGATGAGTTTAAGATACGCTATTGAACCCGGAGGTTTCTTGGCATATCACAGATCCATAGTATCATCCGCTGCTAACAATGATAAAAATGATAACGTGTGATGAGCGGCGTCTGCATCCCGGCCGCTGGTAGAGTTTGAGCCATCGCGTTATATACATAGGCATTCATCTAAAGAAAATAAAACAACACCGCAGGCTTTCTGGCGATCAGCATCAACGGAGCAGCGAGGGTAAGTGCAGCTGCTGAGCAGCAAGAGCCGCGAGTCTCCTAACGATACACCGGACTGGCGTCCCTTTGATCACTCCGTTGGATCTTTCGCGAGGCGATGCGCGCGTGCTCCGGCGGGCGCCAGGCGCTCGCGACGCGTCCATGCTGGGCTGCACCGCGCTCCCGGCTTCAGTGCGTATCCCTGAGTTCAAATATATTTGACACTTGCATCACTGAGCAGAGCGAACCTATTTCAAGGGCTGACTACTCCATAATTCCAGACAGTTAAAGTAGCTTTAGCAATCTCAACACTGTCTGACTAGTTAACATGAATCGAAAGCTTCGCGAAGTTCAAAACTGCCTGACCAGTTAATATAAACTGAGAGCTTCACGTAGTTCAAAACGTGGCCATTTAACCTGATTCCGCGCGTTTTGCCACGTGATAAGGTAGCACGTAAGGTAGGTCTCTTGTTTTCCCTAGAAACAGTTTCGTTCTGTTCCAGTTTTGTCCTGGAGAGCGCTGAGTGATCCTCAATAGCAGAGGTCAGTTTCTAGTTAAAATATCAATAATTTGAAGATGTTTACAGGGGGAGTCAATGTTCCGGATGGATCTGCGATCCAGTCAGTGCTGCTGTTAATGTAGTTCGATTTTCGTACAACTGCCATGGTCTAGTAAGTAATATACACCTGTAACAAACGTCACTGCTGAGCTGATTTAGAAGCATCATACTGAAGCCGATAGCCGTGCAACGTGAAGAGGCGTAAGTTTTGACAAAGCCGTTCTAAAGCTTTTCAAATAATTTGATTGATGCATGGCAATGATACCAGCAAGGAAGGCATGAAGCTACAGGATTTATGGAGCAGCCTGTTGAGAGTTATCATTTTTACAGCAGACCTTTACTTTACTAGTGTCCAGAAGACACTGAATGAATAAAGTAAACATTGAGATGATCATGATTTGGGCTTTAGGGCGCGCCGACTACAATGATCATACGGGGTCCATTAAAGCAATATGAGAGAGATCACTGATTTCACCTACCAGAGCCCCAATCAGGTGGCCGAGAACCCTTCATCAATCGGCATTTGTTCGTGACGTTTCTGCCGCCGTCCACCGCCTCGCTAGTACCGTCGTCCCCAGTATCTCCCCAGCGTCCGTCCCCGGTATCTCCCCAGCGTCCGTCCCCAGTATCTTCCCCAGGGCCCGTCCCCAGTATCTCCCCAGGGTCCGTCCCCAGTGCCTCCCCAGGGTCCGTCCCCAGTATCTCCCCAGCGTCCGTCCCCAGTATGTCCCCAGCGTCCGTCCCCAGTATCTCCCCAGCGTCCGTCCCCAGTATCTCCCCAGGGTCCGTCCCCAGTATCTCCCCAGCGCCCGTCCCCAGTATCTCCCCAGGGTCCGTGACCCAGTATCTCCCCAGGGTCCGTCCCCAGCATCTCCCCAGGGTCCGTCCCCAGTATCTCCCCAGGGTCCGTCCCCAGCATCTCCCCAGGGTCCGTCCCCAGTATCTCCCCAGGGTCCGTCCCCAGTATCTCCCCAGGGTCCGTCCCCAGTATCTCCCCAGCGCCGCGGCGCCGCTCCGCCACGTACCGCCGCCTTTTTACTGCTGAGCCAGCGCTTGGTCTGGTCGGAGAGGTCGGCGGACGTCATGAGTAGCGAGCGCAGCAGGCGGCGGTGGCGCGGTTCCGACGGACAGTACCCAGTCGCCGCCATCGCCTCCAGCTCCGGCATGATGCGCAGGTGCTGGCTCAGGTCCGTCGCTGTCGGCCGGGCAGCCGGGCGCGGTCAGCGGCAGCAGGGAGCAGGCGAGCGACGAGCGGGAAGCGGTGGCCAAGGGTGGGGAGCGGGTAACGGGAGACGGTGGAGCGGCTAAAGCGGTCAGGGGTGGGGAGCGGGTAACAGGAGACAGCGGAGCGGATGGACCGGTCAGGAGTGGGGACCGGGTAACAGGAGATAGTGGAACGGATGGACCGGTCAAGGGTGGGGAGCGGGTAACAGGAGACGGTGGAGCGGATGGACCGGTCAGGGGTGGGGAGCGGGTAACAGGTGCACAAATAAACATTAGAGAGGTGGAGCGGCAGGGAGAAGGCCAGAATCGGGACATGGAGAGGGTGGGCAATAGGTGGAGTAAAAACGCACGGACACGGTCAATGACTCAGCGATGCGTGTATGTGGTCGAGCCACACCGCCAACGTTATCACGTCAGTTCGTAGCCCCCATTGCAGAAGCGCGCATTTGGACACAAAAACAACAAACGAGCACAGGGCACGAACGAGGCAAGATGAAGGCGAGACAGAGACAAAGTACGCAATAAACGAGATGGTGAAAACAAAACAAGTGGCTATTCGGAGTCACCGCCAGCTCATCGCTCCACATACTACGAGGGGGGAAAGGACCAGGTCGGCCAGTCAGCACTAGCAATAATCACACACCACCAAATATGTCGAACTCCACGACGGAACAGCATTACGACAAGAAATGACAAGAAACGACAGAAGTAGACACACCGCGGATGTCACATACGAGCCAGGGATAGCATATCCAGCGCGCCGAACAGGAATAACCGCATTAATAATGCGGCCCACTTTGTTTTGAGATGTGGGTGCTGACACCGAACACGGCCTGGCACCACTTGGCATCATGTCAGAGACTCGACTCGAAAGTTCGGAGAGAGGTCGCTCGAAACACCAGCTGCACTCCTGCACGACACACGGCACACCCGTGCGGTTCAGCAGCGACTTCGGTACCACCCGACCAACATCGGACGGCGTGCAGCTGACATCGATCCACAGGGCTCTCCATACACTGTCGGTACCGCTCGGTGTCCGGGGGAAGGCGACGGCCGGGGCCGGGGCCGAGCCGGAGAGCCACCGACGATTCCCCCCGGCGGCCGGCGTCAGGCAGCGCTGCCGGGGTCGGCGGCACGGCGTCCGGTCCGGCCCGAGTCCCGTGCCGCCGGCGCACAGCGCCCGCATCCGAACTCCCGCCCCGGCCGCGCCCGGTCCCCACAGACGCCCATCTGCGTCCGCCGACGCTCCGCGGAGGGGGCACGGGACGCACGACAGACGCGGCACCACTTGCCGTTCTCACCCACCGCCACGTCCCGCACGCATGACACGCACAGTCATCGGCATGCAGCACACAGCGCCAGCGGAGAGCCTCGCCGAGATCGCCGCCTCTCCCTGGCACCAGTCTCGGCGCCGGACTCGGCGGCGCGGGCCTCACCGAGTATCATGTCCTGCACCATGTCCAGGCAGTGGGTGTAGTCCTTGCGCGGCAGCTGGCTCAGGATGTTGCAGCCCTCCTGTGTTCAGGATACACATGGACTGCGCGAAGTGGTGGCGCTGCAACGGCCAGCGGCGTCCGTCAGCGCGATCCGAGGCGCGGGGCCCAGACGGGGGTCGCGCGGCCAGTACGGCTGACCGCGAACGCCGCCGCAGCCATCTGCTCGCCGACCCCCCGGTGAGAGTTACCAAGGCGATGCGAGACCAGCGCGCTGTTTGCGCCGGCTCGGAGCGTGACAATCGGCGGGAGAAGCCGCGACGCTAATGGTTGCCGGAGGCCTCCTCGCGCCGCTGGCGCCCGCAAAGGCCAGCCAAGCCGACGCATCAATAAGCGAAGATAACGACGCGCGCTGCGCCGACATCGACCAGGAAGATTATCACGGGTCGCGACACTCGGGGCACGGTGTCACGGATCAATACCGCGACGATGCATTAGACGGGAGACCGGCGCCGTGGAGGAGAGCGCCGTCGGCACAGTTGCCAAGGCCCTGGATTAGTCTCCAGCGCTTGAGCACACCCAAGGCGCAACGCCGCCCAGCCAAACACCCCGGAGGGCGCGGTCACATGAGCAACACGTCCCCTACGCCACCGGCCCGTCCCGACGCTCCGCGCACCGGTCGTCATCTGGCCGACGGCGGGGCGGGCGTGAAAGAGTCCGAAGAGAGGATGAGAACAGGCGCACGCGCCACCTCAACCCGCCATCTCTGATCCTCGCCAAGCTCTGCCAGAAGAGCCAGCGCTGCCGCCGACAGGCCACGAGCACCGGAGCTGGCCGAGACGCTGGGACACCGGACCTCGCACCGGACCAGGCGGAATGGCGCCGCTAGGTGGCACTGCCGCACGAGCGCGCTCGTCCCACATGCGCCTCGCTACGTGTCCCCCCGCGGCGCACCCGACAACGGGCCGGGCATGGCGCGCACATGTAGCCCGACCGAACCGGCCGCGCTGCACCGAGCGCCGCCGGCCACAGCGGCCGCGCGGGGCCTCACCTCCATCACACTGCCCTCGGACGAGTACAGCGAGGCCAGTACGGAACGCGACGCCACCTGGAAGCTATTGGTGGTGCCCCGGTGGTCCAGGTCGTGGCAGAGGCACGCTGTGAGCAGCGACAGTGCCTCCAGCTCACTGGAAACGGGAGGCAAGCAGTCAGCCACACCGCAATACGGGACGGGGAGGACTGCTGCCCGGCTCACTTGAGACGGGAGGCGAGCAGTCAGTCACAACGCAGTACGGGACGGGGAGGGCTGCTGCCCGGCTCACTGGAAACGGGAGGCGAGCAGTCAGTCACAACGCAGTACGGGACGGGGAGGACTGCTGCCCGGTTCACTGGAAACGGGAGGCGAGCGGTCAGTTACACCGCAGTACGGGACGGGGAGGACTGCTGCCCGGCTCACTGGAAACGGGAGGCGAGCGGTCAGTTGCACCGCAGTACGGGACGGGGAGGACTGTTGCCCGGCTCACTGGAAACGGGAGGCGAGCGGTCAGTCACACCGCAGTACGGGACGGGGAGGACTGCTGCCCGGCTCACTGGAAACGGGAGGCGAGCGGTCAGTTGCACCGCAGTATGGGACGGGGAGGACTGCTGCCCGGCTCACTGGAAACGGGAGGCGAGCGGTCAGTTGCACCGCAGTACGGGACGGGGAGGACTGCTGCCCAGCTCGCTGCAAATATGCAGGGGAGCAGGAGAGGGGGAGGGGAGCATGCATCACACCACAGGCGAGACGACGATGAAGTGCACCAGCTCACTGGAAACAGGAGATGAGTCCGTCACGCACAGAACCAGAGGAAAGGACTGGCGTGTGTCTCCCGCTTATTGGATACAAAGGAGACGAGTCAGTCACGCGATACCCAGGAGAGGCGGCACGCGTCTCCAGCTTATTGTAGCCAGAGAAGCGAGGCGCCCATGTGCCTGTCCCGCAGAGACGAGCAACTCAGGCCACACGTCTGTGGGCGCTGCAGGGCGCCGCGTCACCGGCGCGACGTCATAACGGTGCTGGTCATCTCGGGACAGCGCCAGGGGCGGTGGGGCGAGGCGAGCGACGCCAGCGGGCAGGTGACATACATCACGGTGGGTGGCAGTGGTCACACAAGGTCGATGGTGATGACGGTTTGACTTCATGCGCGCTGACTGCCGGTCACACGTCATGACGTCAGCGGGCGGGCTGAACCGTGCCGAACATTGCGGCACGCTAAACTTTTATCTCAAATGCTGCAGGTGGTCTGGAATTCCGTGATCGGACGGCCAGGTCAGGGTTTACACAGGAATCGCGGCATAACGTGGGCTGAGATTCCAGACATCCATCTCTTCGAAAACGTCGATTTTTTAACGCAATGGATGAGCATGACGGAAAAGCTAATCTCATGCATGTTTACGTCGACCGGAACTCGTTCGGGACTCATCATTAGTCGTGCGTTCACTTCTTTCTATCCAATGATTGAAAAGACGAAGCGATGGGACATCGAGAAAGACCGGCAAAATGGAGCGCTGCACCGTCAGTTCCTTCCTCCAAAGGCGAGGCAAACAAGGTGAGGAAGAAACGTCCCCCCGACCGACCGCACCCCGCACCAAACCGGCCGCCGTTCCGCGCCACCCACACCCCAGCGCCCCGCCGGACGATCGGCGCATCGGCAGGCTGCGAGGCGCGGAGACAGTGGTAATGACAGGGCCGTCATAACACACGGCTAGTGCGGCCGCCCGGCCGTCCCCGGCTGCCACCTGCGCCCGGATCGGCTCGACACCCTGCTATTGGGGGCGCCGCCGCCGTCGGCCAGTGCCGCCGCCGGGCCGTCCTCGGCTGCCGCCCGCGCTCGGATCGGCTCGACACCCTGCTATTGGGGGCGCCGCCGCCGCCGGCCGGTGACGCCGGTGACGCGACAGCCGGACGGGCCGCAGCCGCAGCCGGTGATTTCCAGTCGCTCCAACGGACGGGACCAAACAAGATCGGTCGTGTCGGGGTCAGTCCACTGTCGTGGCCACCACTCATAGGTTTTCGGCAAATTGCGGCGCTTTTAATAGAACGCTTTATTGCGGCTCTAATAGCCAAGACTTGACGTTTATTGAAGCGCTGAGAGATTCGAGACGAAAATGATGACGGTTCTTCGATATTGGGACCAGAATAACGCACAACCTATTTTGCCCCACGGGGTTCACCATAACTACCTCCATTGATTTTGGCCACAGTGGAAGCTCTGACGAAGACATGGGTAGACCCGACCAGAAACGTTTTTCAGCCTGGTCTTTTCAAGAACAATGCAAAAATTGTAATTCCTGAAGCAGACTTCGGGGCCCACAAATGCTATACAACGGAGATACTGGCTTCGCGGTACCCTACCGCCACCACCTTCGCAACTGTGATATTTGCCAACCTGTTGTAGAACCCTTGTGCCCATTTCAAAACACAAATTCTGGAGAGTAAGTACGTCGCAAGACACTGTGTTTGGCAAAACGAATGGCACATGGCAATTAAAAGTGGCACAGTTCTAGGCATACAACTCAAACACGATTTTTGGTGCACCAGTTAAATTGCACGTCCTTTGGAACGGAAAGGCGCATCGAAATTGTAGAAGCGCATAATATGCATGGGACCTGCACGCAAACGAGGATTATCACCAGTCCATCTTATCCATTGTTGTCCGAACATGCTCCCACCACCCAGTATAACAGCCTCTTAACTTTCGTAGCCAAGCAGTATCTCACACGGAACGGTCGATGGAACCATTCCTGGAACGTCCCCAACGCGACCTCCACACACATCTCGCGCGGCAAGCTGCTTCCACTGTGCAGCCCTCCCGGGAGAGTGCTTACACGACAAAGAGCACCAGTTACAGCGACTTCCGTCGACACAACATACGGCTGTAATGCCCGCCGGCCGGCGGCAGGCCCCGCGGGCCACATTCTCCGCCGGTCGGTGGGCGGGATCCCGTCCGGTAACGGCCGCGGAGCGTGACCCGGGCGCCGGGCGGGCCCTCTCCGCCGGCCCGGCCCACGCCGACGACGGCGAGGCCGGCGCGGCAGAGGCCGGCTCGAAGGCGGAAGCCCGGGCCGGGACGACACGCCATCCAAGCTCCAGAGCATTTCACTCTGAACGTCGCAGCCCGCAGCTGGCATTTCCCCAGCACTCGCTGCCTCGGCCGTGTTGGCCCGTCGGCAGGCCTCTGCTCACGGCCGTCGCTGTCGGTACACACTGCTCCAATATTCGGCCACTTGGGTGCCTCTCCTCGCTCAATATCGGCCAATCGGCACCGAGCTGGACGGCGGTCAACTCGGCATGAGACACCTCGGGCTTGGCAATCGGCCGGGCAGGTCAGATGTCAAGGTCTGGGATCAAGGGACAACGGCTTGGCAGCCAACAAGCCGTGCGTGCAGAGGCCGTGGGGGTGAGGCGGAGGAGGGCGGAGGCCGTGGAGGCGGGGCGGGGGGGGGGGGGGAAGGGAGCCCGGAAAGTCAGAATTCTGGCAGTGTGGGTTCCTATCAATGTCCCGCACAGCCAACTGAATGAGCGTCGGACCCCGGTGACCACACACGCCAACAGACGCGCATCGCCATGTGAGCAGGGCCGCCGCGGCACCTGGGGACGGACGCCGCGCCGCCGGCCGGCGCAGCAGCGTGTCAAGCGCCGCCCACCGGCGCAGGGTCGGCGCGGACCGCCTCCTCAGCCAAGCAGCGGCCTCAGGCGGCGGCCAACAGCGCTGCGACTGTGGGACCGTTTTTTGTGGCAACAACTTGCGGTGCGGCGGACATCCGGGTCATGCCGCGACCACAGCTCAGCATTGCGGCCCACAAACGGCGACGTGCAAAACCCCGTGGAGTCCAACGGCGCAGCGCAGTCAGGTGTCGGCTACAGCGAGTTCATCGCTGAGCCAGACGCCCTGACAGACACACAGATTTGTTGAGGCCGGTCACGTCTAGCTGGCCGCGCGGCTGAGGCAACGGCTACGCGAAAAACAGCAGCCGAGAAAGGGCGCCGTGTGGAGGGACATCGGCCGTGCGTTAGCCGACGTCACTGCCACTGTGAAGCGGACGACGGATTTCTCGATTGATTATCGAATGTCGATGGTCACGTATTTGTCATCGCCAGGACAACCAGCGAGAGACAACGCAAAACAAACGAGCCTGCCGGTTCGCATGCACCGCTGAGCAGCCTCACCCCTTCAGCGAGCACCACTGGGGACTCACTCGAGGCGTTTGTCCTCCACCAGCTGAATGTTCTTCAGCGTGAGGTAGGCGAAGTGAGCGACCGAGTAGGCGTGGCTGAAGTTGTGGTACGGCGGGTCCCTGTAGCCTTTCCGCACCATCAGTACAAACCTGGAACGGCACGTGGCGTGGGCTTAACTGGAGCCGCTCGACTGCCCGCCGCGTGCTCGAGGGACACGACAGCGGCAGAGCGCGCAGGGTGGAGCGCAGCGGCGGACGGTAGACGTGGGCGGTGGAGCGCGGCGGTAGAGCGTGGCGGTGGACATGCTGACGTCAGTGGAAGGTCGCCGCGGGAGCGACAGTGCGGGCGACAGAGAAGCGACAGTGACCATGCGACCGGTGGACCGGTGCGACAATCTGGCGCCGCGAACGACCTGCACTACGACAGTGGCGCCACCGTCCACGCTACCGATCATCACGCCCGTGACAGTGAGTGCACGAGACCGCCACGACGGTGACGGCGCGTTCGCGGGAAGGTCACAACGGGTGAACTGTGAATATCTGGTTGTGGCGTGACCGTATTGTTCACACGCCACATCCTGACACCGCGAGATGACCGCGCCGAGCGTCCGGCGCAGTCGCCAACCGCCACATCCGGCCGCGCCACCCGACCAGAGCACAACGTACCGTCACCAGACGACATCTGCCCCGCGTGCCGCCTCGCGCACGGAGCGGCACCGACGCGTCTGCGGTGCACAGGCGTCCTCACCTGGCCAGCGTGCTGCGCTCGATGCGGAAGCGCTCCACCAAGCCGAGGTCCTCGTACATGCTGATGACGGCCACGGGCCAGCGGCGCTCGTCCAGGTCGCGCGGGAAGTGCTCCCAGGCGGTGAAGGCAGGCGCCAGACGCGTGACAGGCCCCGGCCGCTCGGCGCACAGCTGCTCGGTCTCCTCGCGCGACACCTGGCGGCGCGGCCACCGGTCAGCCAACCAGCGGCGAGACGAACATCAAGCAGAGGGTCACGGGGGGAGGGGGAGAGGTTAGAGGACGAAGTGGAAGGCAAGGTGGAGGGCGGAGCGATCGGGGTCGGGACAACACCTGAGAGCGGTGAAAACACGTGCTGGACTCAAGGCACCTGGCGCACACGAGTTACACGAACGCAACGCCTCCGTGTCACGATACTGAAGGCTACACAACTCGACAAAACACCAACACCGCTCCACTCCAACAAATTGGCAGCAGCCCGTGCCGCGAGCAACAGCATCGCAAGCGTGCCCGACACAAGAGCTTCCACGCCACGGCCCTTCCCCCGCCCCCACTACGCGGTGCCACCGGGCACACCCATAGGCCCCACGGCCCCGCGCGGGCACGGGCGGCGCTCTTCCGCGGCGCGCGGCGCGTCTCGCGTCCCCACCTGCATGTGGTACATCATGAGCTCGTTGGAGAGCTGGACACGCTCCTGCGTGTCCATGACCTTGCGGTACATGAAGGAGTTGACGAGCGCGATGCCGCAGTAAATGGCGAAGGCGCGCGCCGCCTCCTCGTCGAAGCTGGTGAACCACGGCCCGGTCAGCTTGTTGCAGAGCTCGGCCACACCCAGCACCTCCTTCTCGTCCTTGATGGGGAAGCAGAGGATGCTCCTGTCGACAGAGGAGCACGGGCGCTGTCAGCGGGGCGGCCGGGCCCGGCGCTGACGCCGCCCCGCAGGACGGGGCGTGCAGGGCAGGACGGGAGGGGAAACCCCGCGCCGAAAGGCAGGGGGGCTGTGGCGAGAGAGCGCGAGGCTTCCGGAGGAGCGGAACCATCGGGACACGACACAACGCAGTGGAGAACCGAGAGGTGAAACAGCCCAGCACGGAGACGGAGCAGACCAGCCGGCAGGGAGGCCCGCCGGCCAGGAAATGCATCCGGTCATCGATTGACACTATCTGGTCAATGTCAGCTGTTCTTACCAGCGGCGCTGGCAGATGGCACAGGTGGACACAGGCGTCATGACAGATCAGGAGCGGAGCATACGGGCCTCGCCAACACAAATGGCAAATACATTATCTGCGTCGGCTACCCCAGCTGCGACGCATAGGTGACCTTCCCGCTCCCTTCACGAGCAGCGGGCCGATAACGGCTGGTGCTTGACACAAAAGGTTGGAGCGATATTGCCAAACAAAGACTGCGCACAAAAACACCGGTGGAGGAGAACAAGAAGCCTTGCGCCAGGCACGCTTCTGATTTGGTTCAAGAGAAGCATATCTGACGCTCCCATCTACCAGCACGTCACAGGACCGACCTCCGCCTAACCTGCGTCTCCTCGCGCACCTCTCTAATACTCGCACGGACGCTTGGACGGCCCGCCGGACCGGAGCCGGAGCGCTTCCGGCGCGGAGCTGAGCGCGGCGCCGTCTGTCGCTTCTGCCCGGGCTCTTGCCGGCCGTCCCGGCGGCAGCACGCGGTGACGAACCGACCCGACCGCGCCGGCGTCAGCGATCGAACCCAGCCGGGGCCCAGAGCCACACTCAGGCACGCGCCGCGCAGCGTCCGTCGAGAGGCGCGCCACCACCGGCCACGGCGGCGCGTATCGAGCGGCGCACGGCTTCTCCGAGCAGACGGCGGCGGACGAGTGCCACAGCAGTCGGCCCACCGCCGGCCGCCAGCGCGCCAGCGCGCCAGCTCGCGGAAGGCGGGGATGCCTCAGCGCCGGCGCATCACGGGGTGTCCCGTCCGGGCAGAACCGACAGAGGCGCCAGCGAGCTTTCCCGCGTTGCGTCACGACGAGGACCGCCGTTTCCTGATGGGGCCGGTGCAGTGAACGTGCAAGGCGTCGCGCGCAGCACCGTGCCGCGACCGCACGCGCTTGGCCTACGTAGCACGGTCCACAACCCCACAGCAGAGCACCGCAGACGCCTGCACGGCAACGCCAGCCGGCACTACCCACAACACCGTCCGCCCAGCAACACTAACACAGCGGCGACGCAGCGGCGCCCACGCCGCGGACGTATCACCCCCACGCTGGCGCACGCACAGACTCCCAACCGCCTGCTTGCTCCTCCCGCACCGACTCACCCCCAGCCGGCCACACTCACCCGGCGGGCGCGCGCCGCCGGCGGCGCGCGTCCCCGGCCGCGCCGCGACTCGCTCTCTGCACGGCGTGGCGGCGGCGGCGGCGGCGGCGGCACGCAGCGCGCCGCCCCGGCCGCCAGCGTCGCCTCTTGGCCCGGCGCGCGAATCAATAGCGGGTCGGGCGGCGGCGGCGGCGGCGCGTGCCCCGGGGCGCCCTCATCCCGGCCGGGGACCGGTTCGGCCAGCGGACTCGCACCAAATCGGGCGCGACGCTTAGCGCATTGATTCGTGGATCGCGCGGGGGCGGGGGTGGTTCACCGACGCGCGCGAGAGGGTTACGACGTCACCAAGCGGCGCGTGCCGACCGCTCGGGGGCGGGGGGGGGGAGGGTAGAAGCAGTCGCGAGCGGCCGACGAGGGGAGAGGGCCTAGGACCGGCGTGGCCTGAAGAGCCGAGTGACGGGGGCGGCAGAACTCGCGTCTGCACACTGAGGCCATCTGGTGATGGGGAGGGGAGTCAGGTCAGTCAGGTCATCACATCCCAGGCCAGATGACTCCGGGCAGCAATTCGGCGCGATCTTCGGCACATCGTTAATCGGTGTGGCCCGGCCCGTTGTCCGCCGGGCCAGCTGGACACCGAGGGCTGCTCGTGAGGCATGTCAACACCCCAACTCACACTCGTCGGAGCGCGAGTGGTGACGTCTGACCTCTGAGTAAAGCACGCTTTACGCTTGGTCCAACACCGTGAGCCTCACGCTGTCAATCGTCCGAAAAGACAGGAGAAGCAGCAGGTCACTCAACACTCATCAGACGGTTGTAAGACCCTGACCCCTGCGATAGTTACTCGGTCAGGACGGTTGTAAGACCCTAACCCCTGCGATAGTTACTCGGTCGGGGTGGTTGTAAGACCCTAACCCCTGTGATAGTTGCTCGATCAGGGCGGTTGCTCGGACTCGACCCCGCGTGCTCGCCGCCCTTCCTTCACAGTCGAATTTTTTACCAAATGCTCTGCATGGACGACCCGTTACGCTAATTCACGCTGTCGTAAATATGCATCAACGTTACGAACGTACGTTAATGCAGATTTAATGCCCCAGCCGGGCCGGATTTATATGACGCCTTAACGTGACGGGAATACAGACATGGTGAGACAAACAGCTCGCTCTAGTGACAGCGGGGCAGCCACGCCCCTACAACCCCTCGCCGGTCCCACGGCCGCAGACGCCACCACCCTGTGGCTGCAACCTCACCCACACCGCAGCCGATAGACCCCACCTCTCCCCGAGCCCCCTGCAGCGCCATCTCCAGCCGCGCGCCGTGCGCGCAGCCCCGAGCCGGCGCGCCGCTGGCGCCACCTACCGCGTCCGGAAGCCGGTGTTCTCATCCATCTGGCGGTAGAAGAGCGGGTGCGCGTAGGCGTCGCGGATGTTGAGCAGCTCACCGGAGGCGGCCACCTGGCCCACGATGCCGGTCACCATCGGCAGCCGGATCTCCTCCTGCCGCAGGGCGACCGTCCGGTGACGTGACAGAGGTGGCGGCGGGCCGGCCGGCCGCACGACCGTCGGCGGCCGGTGGCGACATGTGGCCGCGGCGGCCCGTTCTGGACATGGTGGTGGGCCGGCCGGCCGGCAGGTGCGTGCCAGTGGGAGAAAATGCACGCTCACAAGGGGCAGGGTGTCGTGCAGACAGTGTGTCTACGCTGCGGATATTAAATGGAAAATAACATCTATAGAAACGATTTCGGGCGCTCAGTTTGGACTCCTTTCGCAAATTCCAGTTTCCTTTCTATGGGGGGATTTAATTTCTCCTGATTTCGATTTCCTCGGGGGCAAGGCCAGCGATATTTGAGGCTGCATGCCCGGTAGTGGCTGCCGGTTTGCCACTAGCCATCCCGTGCCGGATGCAGACGGAGGAGAGCGCCGTACGCAACAGTTGCGGCCGATTTGCATCGTCCGCCTCAATCGATGCTTTTCACACGTCGGGCGGCAGCATTGTGCGCGGGCTGCATCGATTGCGGCCGCCGGACGTCCGCCGCCGTTGGAGGGTGGCGCGGCCGGTGCCGAGCGGCGCCCGCCGCGGAGCGCGAGCTGCGCTCGGCGACGGACGGCGCCGCCGGTGGAGGGTGGCGCAGCCGGTGCCGAGCGGCGCCCGCCGCGGAGCGCGAGCTGCGCTCGGCGACGGACGGCGCCGCCGGTGGAGGGTGGCGCAGCCGGTGCCGAGCGGCGCCCGCCGCGGAGCGCGAGCTGCGCTCGGCGACGGACGCCGCCGCCAGTGGAGGGTGGCGCAGCCGGTGCCGAGCGGCGCCCGGCCGCGGAGCGCGAGCTGCGCTCGGCGACGGACGGCGCCGCCGGTGGAGGGTGGCGCAGCCGGTGCCGAGCGGCGCCCGGCCGCGGAGCGCGAGCTGCGCTCGGCGACGGACGCCGCCGCCGCCGCCGCGGTCGGGGGGCGGCTGGGGACGACAGATCGCTGGTCCCAGCTGGGGACGGAGAGCGGCGGCGTCAGACGCCGTGGGGCACGGGAAGGTACCTCCGCGGTTCTGTCCGGTCAGAGAAGGACCGACCGCGAGCTGTCGCTGGTCCGTGCTGATACGTGATGAGTGATGGGTTCAGCGCGCACGCCAAAAGCTCCGCTGTGGATGTGCGAGTTCAAAGCCATGCGTGCAAAGCACGAATGATTAGAAAATACGCTCATCAGGGCAAAAATTCCACTTGGACAACAGCCAACTGCGCTAGAGCATAACGCAAACAGACGAAGTGAAGTCGGTGCGGCAAAAGTGGCCCCACGAGGCATTACGACGCGGCAGCAGGAAAATGCCCAGAAAGAGATGCGGGCCTTCCCGGTGGAAACTGGGTTAGTGGGTCACACAACTTTCATATCCAGCCCGTCCAGCTCAACGTGAAGAGGCAACACGGCAACCATCCTGAGAATTGAGCATGCCGGCCGTACCGGTTGCTAATGCTAACGCAAGGCCCACCCAAATGGCATCCGCGGAAGAAGCTGTCACAAGACGGCAAGATCAAAGAGACGGTTGGTCACGAGGCGCCGAGACCAAAGGGGCAGCTGGTCTCAGGGCTCCTTGGCACGCCGGCGGCGCTCGGCCACCGTAGCCATGTCTCGGAACCGAAGCGCACTTCGATGACGCGCTGAATATTTTTGCCTGCCCAAGGGAAGCTATGCACCGGTGGCTCTTCGGAAGCCACTGATGGAATCCGTGAGCGGAAATTTATGACGCCAGCATCTGCCGGCACATCAGCCTTGAAAAAAACAGGGCCTCTCGGCTGCGCATGGCCTCGCCTTATTTCAGAAATCTTGTTGCCGTGTCGGTAAATCGTCCTTGATTTGATTAGCTCAAAAGCCGCCCGGGCAGCAACGAACTGGCCACGTTTGCTTTCCCACTGAGTAAATAACAGCGTAGTGTATTTTCGGCTTCCAATTTCCGGTCCCCACTTTCCGCCCGGCCCTCTGTCGGAACTCAATAAACGGCGACCCTCGTCCGCACGCAGCCCGACGCCGTCCCACTGCCGTCCCTCGGCGGCCTGGCTCCTGCAGCAGCGGGCCAGCGGCCGGCCGGGTCCGCCGGCAGCGGGCCGTGGACCGGTCTCGCCCCTCATCACGGCCTGTGCTCGACTCAGCGGGCGATGGCCGGCTGCAGCCTCAGCAGCGCTGGCCGCCGTCTCCGGGCCCAGGAGGCGCTGGCTCGGCTCGGGCACGCTCTGAGACCGGAAGGCGGTCTGCCCGTGTGCGCCGGAGCAACTGCCGGAGCCCGCCGCTCGGCCTGTGCGGCACGGAGGTCTGCAGGCCCGACCGACCGGCGGCCGCGCGGGACCCCTGGAGCGGACCGTCCGCCACCGCCGAGCCGAACCGTCCGACGCCGCCTGAGTTAGCCCACCAGACACTCTCCGGAGCCGACCCGTCTAGACGGAGCCACCCGGCTTGTCTGAGGCCATCTGTTGCCGTCTGGGAGCGCTTGCAGCCAGCCGGCCGGGCCCGACCGGGGTCGTGACGCACGCCGTCGACACCACCCTGTCGTCAGCGACCCAGCCGGGAGTGGGGCACCCTCCAGGCCGCTATCGATTTCGCTGTGACGGGTGAGGCGGTTGCGGCCTGGCGCCGCCCGGCCGACACCGGCTCCCGGTATCGCGAGCCGGCCGCCCCGCGCTCAGGTGCCGAGCGGCCAGGCGACGGCGCCCGTGACCGGTGCGCACGCGGGGTGCCGACGGGTTCCGCCGTTGAGAAGCGGGAGCGGCCTTGTCAATACCGACGGCGCTCCAGCCGCCGTCGGTAGTCCGCGGCGCCAGTCCGTGGCGCCAAACCGAATGGTCGCGTTATCGCGGCGGTCCGTCGCGCCGGCAGGCTTCGCGTCCGACCCCGCGACAGCCGGACGCTAATCACGACCCGCTGTCGGCGTGCACCATCTGCTCGGCCTGACAGCCACACCGAGCGGACCCCGCGCCGCGAGCGACTGGACGCAAGCCAGCCGCTCGCGGCGCGTCCGGCTTGCGGCCCGTCCGCCCCGACGCGGCGGCGGCGCAGCGGCGGCCGGCAGCGCCACGTCCCTGCAGATCAGCAGGCGGCGGCGGCGGCTCGGACCCACCCGGGCCGCCGCGTCATTCCGACGCCGGCTTCGTGTCGTCGCGCCCGCGGGCCGAGCAGCTCGGAAGCGCTCAGACCCCCAGCGGCATTCCGGCGTCGGACGAGCGTGTCGCCCGGCCGGGGAGCCAGATTAGCCGGCCGGCGCGCCCGGACCGCTCGCGGCGGCTCCGAGCGTCGGCCCAGCACGCCCGTCGGCGCAGCTCGCCGTCTCCTAGGCCGTCTCCGGCCGCGGCGCTCCCAGACGATAGCGCCCGAGCCAGACGGCTTTGGGCTCGCAATTCGAGTTCGCTCAGCGGAACGTCGATTCGGTGTGAGGCGGCCGGTTTCGTGCTCGAGCTAGGGGCGGCCAAGCTACTAACAGCACACACGGAAAGCGGACGACAGTAGGAGTGCAGAAGCTGTACATCCTGAGAGCCACGCCCCACTTACCGATCGTGAAAGCATTCGGGAACAGGGGAGCTCCACGGTTATTTATTCCATCAATGATTCCAGGCAACATCGATCTGTGCTGCACTATTCAGGCCGCCGACGACCCGGACAGACAAACTAAGCCCGGCACACCACACAGGCAAACAGCACGAAACACCCAGACTCCCCGACAACATCAACCCAGCGCGGACAAGCGGCGGCCGCGAGTGCAGCCCGCCATTCCCCGAGAAGCAGCCCGCAGCGCATTCCACACTGTCGCGAGCGACGTGGCGCGGCCACAGCGCCGTCGGCCGAGCCGAGAGGTGGCCCGGGCGACAGGCGCTCTCGCCGCCAGCCACAGAAGCCACAACGCCAGCACAAACTACCCGGCCGCGGCGGCCGCGGCCGGCGCGGCGGGCCGGGTCTGCCGCGCGCCGCCGCGCTGCCCCGGCCGGCCGCCGGTGCGGACCACACGGACAGGCCCGCGGCGCGCCCGCGCGCGAGGCCCGGTACTAACTTGGCAGTCGTTCCACGACGGCTGGCGCCGGCGGCGGAAACAGAGCAGACGGGGTTACCGAGGCGGCGGCGGCGGCGGCGACGCACGACGCGCTAGCGAGCGGGGCCGAGCGGGGAGGGGAGGGCAGGTCTGGTCACGAGCCGCTGTCGGCGCCAGCGGCCGGCGGCACAGGTTGTGAGCACGCGTCGCGCCACCGTATTGGGTGACCAGCGGTAAGCGCCCAGTGATCGGTCGTTTGATGGGATCCGGCCGTCGGACACAGCGCAGCGAATGTCGTTAGGAGGGAGGGCGGGGGGGGGGGGGCGGCAGGGGCGGACACAGCGCCGGTCTCTGTCAGGTCAGCCGGCGTGACAGGGTCACGCGACGGGCGCATGAATTCGTGATAGTGAGAACCTGCCGGTCTCCTTGCCAAAGCTGGTCCGTAGAACATGCTGATGGGCGGCATGGCGGCATGGGACACGTGCTGCACTGGCACATCGGAAACAATGTTGCAAACCAGGTCACAGGCAGGTGGGGTGGCCGGTAATCGTCACAGCCACAGGAACACGCCGAACAGTCTGCATTGGGGCGCAACGACGGCACAGGGCTGGACAACTGGACCGCTCCATGTTTTAACTTTTCTTGTGAAAACACGCGGGGTGCCACGCCACTTTCTGCACGTGAACACGAGTTCCGAAACACCCGATCAGGATCCGCTCCACTCCAGAAACCCTTTCCCGCACTGCAAGGTGAAGCGGTTAGGGCAAAACCGAGCTTCGCGTTGGGGCCTTCAGTTCAAAAAGGCTTCTAGAACTCTCAAAAGTTCGTTACTTTCTTTGTGACAACACGTGTGGCAGAAGCCCGATGCGCACACCACGTACGTCCGCCCGTAGAAAAATGGCTGCGATTACCACACAGAAGTCTTCACATCAGGTATGCCACTCGGCGTATTCACAATGGTGATACCTGAACACTCTACGACGTCACCAACAACCGTCAGCATCGGCACGGCTTTTCCCACGGGCAACTGGCGGCCAATTGCGCAGTTTTTTTTTTTGTAATCGCAATATTTGGCATTACGCGTTTCTTTTTGTGGCTACTCACTTCAGTGATAACGCCAATAACTCAAACTGCTTAAAATAATGTTGTGTTCAACCGCCGTATGCCAGCTCTTGGCACCGAAAAACGCCGGCAGCATGGTCAGACGACATTGGCAGTAAGCCTAGCCGATATTGTGTATACGAAGCTCTTCTGGTCTGACTGTTGTCATCGCTATTTGAGCAATGACCGACTATGACTTGCTCTGCAATACAACTACAGTGGCCGGCCGCGAGGATTACATGAAAACAATAACAACGAGCCAACAGCGCGGTCAGGGTACCGGCACAAACAAGCCTGGCGTGTGCGCATCGCTGCTGGTATGCCTGACAAGTCATATCTGTATCTTATATGCGTATTTGTCATCCATCTTTAACGCGACCTCGTTGTTTCTCGGGGTTTTCTCCGGTGTCCGTAACAACTAAGGTCACATAGGCAATGTCATGAGACAATGCCCTACACACAATGTTAACTTCAATCTGGATATGACCACATTCCAGTCATGCAGGGCGCTCACAAAAATGCGGTGCGGAAGCCTCAGTCGTGGTAAACACCTCTTACCGCTACGTTCCACTCTGCTGCCAATCTGCTGCGGGAAACGGATAGCTTCCTGGGCTTAGCAGCGCGGACATCGTGTACCATGGCCTCAGTTTTCTCCGGAGTAACCCCCTCAAGGGGATGTAGTTCTGCTTTTACCTGCGATTTCCCAGGGGCGTAACTTAGATAAAGGATGTTTGCAAACCTGCAGTGCGTAATGGCCGTCCATTACAGCAGCCCGTGTATCTTGCTCTTAGTAACAGGTATGCCAACCTCCATTCCTCATCGGCTGAATTAAAGAACGTAATGCCCTTGCTTGATGTTTGGAAACTGCGGAATCCCTCCCAACGTTGATAGTTGCCCAGTTTTGATGCGCTAAGTGAATACGCTTGAAGCCTCGTGCCACGAGTGGCCTGGCTTCAACATCACACGGGCTGGGCCTGCGCCAGCGATTGGCTTGGCTTTAATCGACACTCCGTCACGCTAACAGGTGGTTTCCGATGCGCTCGGCACCCGAGGACGTTTGGTCGCTGCTCAGCTGTCCCGGACTCGCTGATTGGTGACATTTGTTCCGCTTTCAATGCACAAGCCCAGCCGCGGCTGCTGCCCGCATTGCAGCAGGGTCCGATGCTGATTACAGCCATTTGCGCAGCACATACCAAAGCTTACAATTCGAGTCAATCTAGCATTATTTGGATCTTACAAGCAGCCAACAGGGAACCAAACGTAGCGATGGGATAATTTATTGTAAAAAAAACATAGGTGGCAGTTCAGACGGTCGGCTACCAGGTGGCTACAATGACTTCGATATTTGGCGTTGGCATGCCGCCGATGAGAGCGCACAGGCCAATACGACCACGATGTGCAATATGCCGCGGCCGCGCTGGAATGTGCAGCGCTTTACCACTCAGCTGTTGTGAGCCACTCGTAGACTTTAGAGCAATAATTGCATTATAATTTCGATCATGACTTGACAGACGAGTCCTAGTTCGGCACCGTGACTTGGTCAAGGCTGTTGGATGCGTCAGCCTTTCCAATTTCGTTTTTATGTCTCATGACAAGAAAAAAACGCCGCAGCACCATACGTGCTCAGAAAAGTTCAAATAGAAACGATTCAGCCAGCAATCGCCTAGCCCACTGAACAAGTGCATCACGCATGGACGCGCTACCGACATCTCGGCAGCCCGACCACCCGAGTCACGACCGCTCGGAAGCCCGACCACCCGAGTCACGACCGCTCGGCAGCCCGACCACCCGAGTCACGACCGCTCGGCAGCCCGACACCCGAATCACGACCGCTCGGAAGCCCGACCACCCGAGTCACGACCGCTCGGAAGCCCGACCACCCGTGTCACGATCGCTCGGCGGCCCGACCGCCCGAGTCACGACCGCTCGGCAGCCCGACCACCCGAGTCACGACCGCTCGGAAGCCCGATCACCCGAGTCACGACCGCTCGGCAGCCCGACCACCCGAGTCACGATCGCTCGGCGGCCCGACCACCCGAGTCACGACCGCTCGGCAGCCCGACCACCCGAGTCACGACCGCTCGGAAGCCCGACCACCCGAGTCACGACCGCTTGGCGGCCCGACCACACGAGTCACGACCGCTCGGAAGCCCGACTACCCGAGTCACGACCGCTCGGCAGCCCGACCACCCGAGTCACGACCGCTCGGAAGCCCGACCACCCGTGTCGCGACTGCATGCCCTTTGACTGCCCCGGGTCACACGGTAGCACGTGAGGTCACGGAGGTCCCGCCTGGAGGGGGTCGATCGCACTCGCCCGCCGCCCAATCCACGCCACTTCGTCTGGGCACACCCAGTGACGCCGACACGGGCCATCAGCCCCCTCCCCCCCCCCCGTGCCGCAGCCAACAATGACACCCTGACCCACACAGAGCACAGCACCCGTCGACGCCCCCCCCCCCCCCGTTCTCCTCCACACACACACACACACGCACACACAACGGATACACCGCACAGGACGCACACGCACACGTACACACGCACGAGACACAAGCGCGCAGACGCGCACCGAGGGCCACGGTCGACGGCGCCCAGCGTCGCCTCGCCACCGTAGGCTCACAGGGGCGACCTCAGCACTACCGGTCACGCCGCAGCGGAACAGTGCCGGCATCGACACTCACGATCTGCTCTGCCTCGTCGGCCACGTCGAACACCTTGGCGACCAGCTCGTCGGAGCGCTTGTCCACCAGGAAGAGCGAGCAGCGCTCGGCGCCCGTCAGGTTGCGGGCCTGTGTCATGATCTCACGCAGCAGCACGGTCACGTCACCTGGCGGCGAACGTCAGAAGTCAGAGAGCAGAGGTCAGGGATCAGCAGAGGTCACGGTCACGTCGCCTGCCGGAGAATGACGTTACTCAGCAGAGGTCTCTCAGGGACGGCACGGTCACGTCCGCTGCGACCAGAGGTCACCTTCGGAGATCGCTCAGCGGAAGCACGGGCATCTCCCCCCCGGTCGCTCAGGTCAGGCCGGGTCGCGGCCCCGATGGACAGAGGTCATTATCAGGGTCGCCAGGGTCGCGTCCCCGCAGCTAGTGGCTAGCGTCAAAGCGGGGTCTCCCAGGAAAACACACAGACGGCGACAGCCCGGAGCGACACGTCCCAGCGGTTACGCACGGACCGACGAGCGGCAACCCCGGGCAACTGAGCGGTCGGCGCTCCCTGCGCCCCTGGATCAATCGGCGCCACAATAAGTCACACATCACCACACACACACCAATTGAGCAGCAATGCCACGCGAGCATCGCAGCGTGTTATTGGCACATTCGCGGGTAAATCGCATTGCCTGGAGCCATTCACAGCGCTATTTACCACCGCGGGAGATTGGCCCGAGAGCGGATCTCTCAGTACCCGGCGACATTAGTGACGGAGGAGACTCGAGGCCGCGCTGGTCCTCTGGGGTCGGACTAAATGCCGGAAGACATTATGATGCGACCCCAGCGGCTGGCGCCGGGCGGCTGGGCGGCGCGGCGAACCCAGCGGCTGACGCCGGGCGGCTGGGCGGCGCGGCGACCCCAGCGGCCGGCGCCGGGCGGCGCGGCGACCCAGCGGCCGGCGCCGGGCGGCTGGGCGGCGCGGCGACCCCAGCGGCCGGCGCCGGGCGGCGCGGCGACCCCAGCGGCTGACGCCGGGCGGCTGGGCGGCGCGGCGACCCCAGCGGCCGGCGCCGGGCGGCTGGGCGGCGCGGCGACCCCAGCGGCCGGCTCTGGGTCGATCACACGGACGGCCAGCACCGGGTTCG